TTGCTGGATTTCTAGCGTTTTCGCGCAAGATCATCCCTTAGCTGCATATATTTGTCATGTATGCCTGCAAAGTTTACATTTCGGCCACCTGCGCAGTCCGTAGTTGTCGCAGGGTATTACGGGCTAATTAGAGCATTTCTGGATAGCTATGCCTATCTAGAACATACGCCGCTTCCCTACTTTTTATATTTTCTTTTCTTTTTTCTGCTATCTGCTTGCAAAGCAGAAAGCCATTTTTACCGAAAAATAAAATGGCCTTATTCGTAGACCATCATTTAATTGCGAATAACTCGCAAACTACTGCACGTATTTTGTTGCTTTTACGTTCAACGTATTCAGGCGCTAAAGCTGGTCCACACCAGTGTAATTTTGTGCCACTTTAAGTGGTATTCTATCTTTAGAGAGGCTTTTTCTTTTATCTGTGAATAACTGAGGTTGAAATTTTGCGCCGGAGAGCAATATCAGCGTAATAAAAGTATGGCTATATTCTTTTGTTAATGGGTATTTTTCTACTGAAGCACGCAGATTTATTTTCTCTCTTAACAAATTGCTTCTATTTATGTCTGCATTTTTCGGAATTGTTTTACTTTTCATATGCCTTATAATTCCTTCATTCATTTCTTCCATGTGCGCAACAACAATTGGGGCAACTGAGTGGCCAATTATTGTGCGATCAATTTAAAGTGAACTTGTGGCAAATTGGATTCTGTTCCAAGGAGAAAAGGCAAACTACACCTCCGCGAAGTATTCACAATAAAATACAAGGAGCTCAATATCGCCCGAAGGAACCAGCAAAATGTCAAGGTGGGCGCCTGCGACCCAGTAGCTGTATACGAAACAGTGCCAATGCATTTGCAATTGCTAACGATGAACATATATTTTGCCAACTTCCATGCAAGAGCATCGGATAAATGTAAGCATTGATCTGAACCCTTTAGGGTGCAGCCTCTAGCAGGTCTAGAAATATACCTATTTATTTATTTATTTATTTATTCGACCAGCTTGAAGATGGCCGCTAGCAAGCAGGATTAGCGTCTTCCTCCCACACTTAGGCGTCAACAATGCACGGTGTCTTGTTTATTCAAAAACGTCGTTCGTTGTTGCTGAAGTGGTTCCCATAGCCAAACGAAAGCCCATTACTCTAAGTCCATCTGGCTTGACAGAGCGTTACAATCGCTCATGTACCAAAGTCACAGACTTTGGTATCGTGACAGGCTTTCGAGATTAGAAACTGATTAGAGCAATTATAAGTTGGTTCGGAACGCGTGCACAACGAAACCGTACGAAACAGCAGCCATACGAAGGTCCCGAGGTCGAAACTTCAAAGTACCTACCGAAGCTGAAATTTCTTATTAGAAAAGATGCACCAGGGCCGGTAGTGAAATACCAACCCTCTACTCCCACGCTCTTAACACCGTGCTTGCCGTCAGTGCTGATGAAGCCAATCGCTTAGCTTGTCATTATTCACCGATCTATTCAACAGAGGTGCTGGCAGTTTTTGGTTATTCGTCATTTCTCTGTTCTCAGTGATATGGCCATAAATGCTAATAGGTCATTCCAAGCTTTGTGCAAGCTGGAGCCAAATTCCTCACCGGGACCTGATGCATTTCATCTTCCTAACCTCAAGGTTTTGTTGGAAAATATGGCTGTTTCTATAAGTTAATTATTGAAGCGCACACTTGAGCCTTTACATCCACTGCATGTCTGGAGAGTGAGCATAGTAAAGCATGTATACAAAAGAGGAAATTAACAAGATGCTAGAAAATAGTGGCCCACCTGCATAACATGTTTAGTCCGCAAGGTTAGAGAGAGGATTTTCAAGCGAGCTGTCCAACTTCATTTCCAGTAACTCAAGTTAATTTCATCTGTGCAACGTGGGTTTGTCATTCGCTTTCATGTGCCGTCAACCTTCTGGTAGCTGGTGGATTGGAGGCCATTAACATGGATGCTGGATAGCGGCTGGATGTCGTATTTGTGGATTTCAGTGGAGATTCGTCAACGTTTTACATCAAGATTTGTTTAGTGAGCTTCGCAATAATGCTCTTTTAGGAAAAGCATTCTCTTTGCGCACTGATTTCCTGCATGCTGCGCTTTCCATATAAACCTAAACGAAACTCTGTTCATCCCTATAAAAATGACCTGCGTTTTTTGCTAGGCGCTGTTCTAGGCCCCGAATTTTACATTATTTAGTAATGTCTGGCATCTGTATTCTAGCAGATTGACTGATTTACGCAGATTATTTAAAGCTATGTACTGAAGTCTGTGTGGATGAAGCTAATGTACTACAAACAATGAGCTGTTTGCTACATGCTTGGTCCATCAGGTGCCAATTATCCATAAAGCACCATACATACTCCGTGCTTTTGCTTGGTGCCTTCGAAACATTTGGATTATATCATAGTAGTGTGTTTCGCTGCCAAATTCTAATGGTGAGAGCGACCTTGGAGTCGTTGTGACTCTAGACCTAAGTTCGATTGAAGATAGCTTGAGGAAAGTCGCTTCGGTCGATTGGATGGGTTTCGCTATATAACGATCCGTCTCCTACTTGACCCTGCAATTGTTCCGATTCGCGTTCACTTTTCTTATATATGCAATTCATGACTATGGACTGTTGGATGCCTACCACTTTCCGCATTTGAATGCAAATGTGGAGTTACGAAAACTGTATTACACACGCCGTCTTCAGCGCCTGAACATATTCACATAGTTTATCGACAAAATCACAGAATCTGATTTTCACATGGCGTGTCGTTATCGGAGAATTTAAAGCTGAAATGCAGGACTTACTTCCACCCAATTCTTCCAGTTGGATTTATGGTCACTACTGAAAAACGGTTAGGAGAAGAATTCGGATCCGTTGTAACGTTGCTCCACCTGGCAGCGCAGTGCACGACTGAACCAATTATTTTTGTGTGGGGCTGCTGCAAATTAAAGGAAAGGCTCAAACGTGGATGGGTTTCTTACCAGTTGAGTAAACACGAATCTCGTTGTTTCTTGTGTCCATGCAGCGGGTCGATGTGTACCGATTGCAGTACATGCGTTGATTCCTGTGACGTACGGGAGGCGATGGAGGTGACAAAAATGTTTTTCATCCGATATCAACAAACGACGATTCGTGGCTTATTTGTTGAGATGCTGAATGATATAGGTAGAAATGCCTCACATCTAGACTCACTCTGAAAGCCATCACAATTCAGAAAAAGCAGTGTACACGCGTTTCATCCTTTCGGGAATCGTCAGCAATGCGCATAGCAACGGACGATGGTAGGGCTGGAACCCGCAACGCGACTTTACCAATCCGTGGTAAAAACTCTGGCGCTACGAGGGGACGACAATGACCATCGTGAAAAATTAAATAGATGTGTTATAGCGCGTATGGTTAATTTACCGGCGTTTTATGGCCGTCTGAAGGGTCTAGATGTGACGCTATTCTACATTTATCATTTAACTACCATACTACCCCTCCTTAAACAGTACGCAGACAAAAGCGCGCATAATTAATTAGGTTAATTAACGGCAAGTTTGGTAAGCATGTAGCGTGCTGTGCAGCATACTCTGTCCTCTTCACAGTGGTAACGTGCAAGTCAGCGGTACGTGAGCGGAACTATAGTACAGCTAGTTAATTTTCACGATTGTAGTTGCCGTCCCCCGTAGCTTAGTGGTCTTAGCGACGGACTGACAACAGCCGAGTGGCGAGTTCCAGCCCTACCTGGGTCCGGTAGAATGCCAGCTGCTGACTTTTCTCGAAAAGATAACGGGCGCGTACCCTACTATTCCCGGTGTATGATGTCAGTCTGAGTATGCCTGGATGTGACGAAGATCTACGTATAAACTTTCAAAAGATAAAAAACCTTATCATCTTACATCCATGTATATGCAAATGTGATTTTTAGTAACACTCCTAACAGCAGCATTTGACAGCGTTTAAAAAGAAAATATACTACATTGGTGGCAATAGCATCCGACAAGTAACAGTTGCAAAACATCTATTCAAGGCTGAATACGGTTAATTAATTAATTCGCTATATAAGGTAGTAGAAATTTACAAAGTGCCTATGTAACGCATGGACGAAAGTACATTCTTGTTTTATACTGTGAACGCTGACAACAAGTTGTGGGCATTCTTTTGAATAACGTTACGCGGAAACTAAGTAACATGTAAATAACGGACTGACCCGAAACCATTGGAAGCAGGAGTTCTTAATCCAAGCTGTAGGTTCCATAATGGCAACATGGCAAGACTGAAAATTTTGATGAAATAAACGACGGCCATCAGAACAAAGAAAACAATAGAGTAAAGAAAAGCGCAAACTACGTTAAACAAATTAAAATGAATATGAAGGTACACTATATTCATAATCCGTAAGCAAAACTGGCAAGTAATACATAATAAAAATTGATATATTCATTTATTATTAAGAATATTAGTTGCAATAAAGTACACGTTAATAAAGACTAAACTGCTGCAACTTTATAAAATTGAATAGAATTGTTATTGGTCGAGCGTTATACCGAACACCTTGTATATACGCAGGTGTTGCCGGAAGCAGTAATACCCATTTAGCTTGTTTTCATCAATTAATGGAACAATAGCATGATTAGGGCATGATGTACCAAATCGCAGGGCGAAATTTCGGCCTTCATGTGTCAGTTAGTTACGCGAGTCGTGGAAACAGGGATTGTCCAAAACCTGAGGCGCATTGTCTCGTGGCTTGTGCTGGCCCTCTTCTTCTAAAAATGGAATTGTTAAAGCATAATAAAGCATCCAAATATTTTTCATTAAAAAGTTTAATAAAACGTTGTTACTTTAGCGACTTCAACTATATAGTAAATATTACTAGACACCATTTTCGTATCAAAATAATTTTTCATTTATTTTATTAAGAAAAACGTGCAGCATGTCGGTTTACACGGTTTTACGATGCTTGTACTAAAACGCTAATCTCAGTCCCTCCTCTTAATTTTGCAGCCTTTCTATTTTTTTAATTCTGTACACAAGCATGTTTATATTGATAATCTTTTCCTTTTACGTATGTTACTTATCTGTTTCTGGTAAACGAAACTTATCGTAATTACTATTCAGTCACATGCATGGAGTGTTATGTGTGTCACAATCAGGAAGGTAACAGAGATAAATGCATTCGCACGACAATGCAATGTCTTGAGGATCAGCTCGCATGTATTACAAACATTTCTTATACAAGTAAGCAGTTGTCTTTAAAAATATATTTTGCTATTCCTAAATGCTTTGATGACTTTTAAATCAATTACATTTTTTGTGCATTTAACCCAAAGGTCTTTATTCAACTTTTAGCCTCAACATGATTGTGTAGCACACCAAGAGATAACCCTGGTTCTCTACAGATACTTAACAATCGATTGCTACAGAAGCCATACTCATCAGCATCTTCTAAGTAAATGGTAAAATTTGCGCCTCTTTTTTCTCAATTAAATGTTATTTTGCGGGACAGCAATTCCAACTCTAAGAAATTTATGGTTATTAGGTTGTGCCGTTCGATATGCTAAATTTGTAGTCCGAAGGCTTATTGCCATAATGTAATCTTGCTTGTACTTCTTGAATACTAGGAATCACAATTGCGATCTCATATCCAATGCATAACATGTTTTTCAAAATTTACATACTTGCTTTCGAATTTTCTAGGACTGTACTCTTTAGTAGCTCACCAATTTTGCATTCCGACCCATTAACAGGCGTGTTTCTCACTTGCAGTTAACGTGAATTGATAATATTTATGACTATGATGGCAGCCAGCTCCTTCCAGTTCGACTAAGATATACAGCCAAACATCCTGGCTGCATCATTATCCGATAGGCACATGTCAGACGCCGGCAAGCGCCCGAAATTCTTCTTAGTGACAAAAATGTCGAGCCATCGTGAGTGTCCAAAATTAGTTACATATGGAACGAATTTCATATACCCAAGAAAGAACAGTATTTGCTTCTACCGCATTTATAAGATCCCTGCATTGTTCCGTACTAACGCGCTCTTCGGAGCCATACGCCAGTTTCGTGTACAGATATATGGTGCGTTTTTGCGTACCAAATTTAGCAACATCTTAGACTTTTGGACTTGTTTTGTATCTGCAGAATTGAAAAGGTTTGAGGCTTGATTTGTGGCGCACGTAGATCGACGCTCATTAAGCAAAGGACGGTTTCGTCAATGGAGATTGGCCTGTCGTAACCGTCTCATTTGGGCGCGTTTTCGATGGATTGTATGAATATAAAAACATATGAAAGCTAATAGCGTTACAAGTCCAAACGTGACGCTAAATATTGCACAAAATATTACACCATCGGTCTTTTGTGATTAGCACTTAAACTTTGTAATCTCGTCTGAGCGATAAACTGCTGCTGAATAACCTATTTGAATATGCCTAGTTATCCCAGTCAGGCGCATTTTGGATATAACTTGGCCAGTCAAAAACATCGTGAGTTAGTTGTAAATTATGACGCTATAGGACTCGATTTCCATAAACGCGTAAGGTATAGGGTTCCAGAACATATGTTTTAACGCAGGTTGGTAAAGTTTCGTTGGAAAATTGTTTTCTGTGTGACTAGTTGACCGGATCGTGTCTAACTTGGATATTTAGGATCGCAATAACCGGTCATCACATGCACAACAACGGTCACTGTTACTGTTGCAGTCGTAGAAAATCGATTATTGTCAAAGTTCTCAGATCATTTCATTATTTCAAATATTGTTGCCATCGGCGCATAAAGCGACTACTCTCAGCAAACTCCGGTAACGCATACAGAAACATGACACCTAAGATGCAATCAAGTCAGGTCAAAAGTGTGCTCGATTCACCCACAAGGGGTAAATACTCCAGGTTAGCCTCTGCCTGCTGGCACATATGGGAAGTCAGCAGAATTGTTGTCGAAATTATCAGTCAATCTGAAATACGAAGAAATTAAGACAAGTAATAACCTAATATGTCTGCGCAAGATACATGAAGAATAGCCTAAGCGGAGTGTCAGTGATCTTAGCTCGTAGCGGCATTTTAAGCAGCATTATCCCTGGATAGACGCAGCGAAAAATCGCCTCTAGTGCACAGACCTGCAGTCCTACGGGCAGATTTCAGATAAGCAGCAGAAATTGATCGATAGGGTCCGCAACATTCAAGCAAGTGCTTCTTGCTTTCCGATCTTGCAAAAAAGTGCGTAGGTTGAAGCTTTACACTTTTAGTGAGCGTCGATGGCCCCGTATAGAAAAGGATTAACCGACGTAGTTCACCAACTTGTACATGGACTCGTCTATTGGACTGAAGCGACGCCCCGCGATTTCGTTTGATGTAAAACTATACAATAAAACTCTATCAAAGGCTGGTGGGAGTGGGTAAGAATTAAGGGTTAAAAACAGGAAAAAAAGTAAACCTGACACGGGAACACAAGGAAGAAAAAACGTATGAGGGGAATAAAACAAGGAGGCTTATGCAGTAGCATCTTCAGTGATATCCAAGCAGCTTGATGCGGTAGATTAGAAAGCATTAATTCTCCTCTGAGTTGGTCAGTGACGCTTACATAACTGCGTTATGAAGCCTTTAAGGCTGATTCCCTTCCAGTGTGCAGTTAGGTTGTGTGATTGAGTGCATTTCAAACGGTATTTGTGACTTGAAAAATTCGGTCACAGCGTTTGTTAAGGCTATCATGGAAATATCTTGGCTGAATGCTCTTGTTCCAAGCTCGTCTCACTTAAATAGTTAGTGCACAGACAATAGGTTACAAGTCTCATTGGCCACTCGTATACGGATCCTTCAATAACGGTAATTAATTGTGGTATTTCACTATAGACGTACTGCCACCGCAAACGCTTGTTTTAAAAATGCCTACTGTTCTCAATAAGCTATAATTTAGATGTATATTTTAGGGAATCTAAATATAAATCCTATAAAATTTGTTTTGGTGGAAACTCCAGGCGCAAAGATTTGCCGGGAAATTGCACTTACGTAGACTGATTAGTCTACAGGGAATAAACACCCTACCATTTCTAAACCGAAGAATCACGAATAAGGTATCCGGCTGCAAAATACACAACACAACGAATGCTAGGCGGTAAAACCTAATAAACCCCTTCAGATGCTCTACTACCCTAGTTTTTCCGTCCAATTAGTGATCATTTCCTTTCAAGTATAGTACAGATGCTTATTCCTATACTTAACGAACAGAAAACACCTTACTCGAATTTGTGTGATGTGATGTAGAACGAATACATATTCCTTTAGCTCAGCAGCGACATTCCTTCGCTGTGAACCATTTTTAGCATTATAAGCACCTTGATTTACATTGTGCCCAGTTTCAAAAGTTGGTTCCCTGCGTACTTCCGGCCGGTGGCAAAAAGACAAGGCATCTGCCTTGCAACCCCGAGGTCGAAAGTGCTAGTCTACCTCGCAGTATTTTTAGCCGACGCGCGACTGGTGGTGGTAGTGTAGCAGCGAATCGTCGGTACGGTGTACCGCTGATACCTCGTTTTTCATTCTGTGGTCCCACTAACCGAGCATATTACTTTCGCAAGTAACCAGATAAATTATCGTGAGGTTTGCCACTTCTACAACAGTTTTTATACTTGCCATACGCATAGTTCGTGATTTAACTTTCGAATAACATTACGATTGAACTAGGTGTGTGGTTTGTCACACTGCACCAGTTTCAGGCTACCGTAAGGATTAGCGGATTTTCTATATCGGACCAGATGACTAGGCCGGAAGACAGTTCCCTCGCATCGTGTGACGCGTTTGGCTAGAATGTCCCTGCTTGCGAAATTTTTGCATTGAAACCATTATTTGTAAGAAGTGACCCAACTTTACAGATGAATGAACTACTGCAATGGCTGGCTTAAATTAAAACTTGCCATCAAACTTTCGGGAAGCTTATTCTAAGGAGACAAACTTTGTCCCTTACTAGAAACAAATGAAAATGTGCGGCGACAGAACAAAAGAAAGAGCAGCTTTTAGTATAGGGCAGTGTAATTCTTTTGAGTAAACAGTTTAATGAGGCGATTGATCAGCCCTTATAGACGCAGTGTAATAGTTCTACCATCGAGTTCTGCCCTCGGAAATTGTCAGGTCGTTAGGGTGATACTGAGAACGAGTTTTCTTGATAACGAATGAAATAATTCCCGATACCAGGTTGAAGTGACAGCTGAGCGGCAGACAGTTGCATGACGTGTGATGTGGCTTTAATAGTGAGCCAACATTGATTCAACATGCGAGTGCCAACGGTTCAAAGAAACGACGTCAGGAACCATTTTAACGTTTCCCTCTGGTGACCCAAGTGCAGGACTGGATAGTAAATTTAGTGCTTTACACAACGAGCTGCGGCAGATTGAAAACTCTTTCTGCTGCTACAAGGATAACCATCATAATAACTGACTATAAGCTAACTAAAACCACTCCGGCTATTCTAATCAGCAATGTCATTTAAGTAGACCGTATTTCAAATGCCGGTTTTTCAGGGATAGGCGTTTAATCAACAAGGGCAACTCATCAAAAATCTCAACACGTTTGACACAGAAAGCGCCTGAAAATACATATCTCGCGCACTTCATATACAGCGATGTATCGATGCGGATTCTCCTTTGATACACCGCACTGTATTTAAACTTCGCTAATAAGCACTCAATGATTGAGTCCGTGAGGTACGTCAACCACTAGCAGTCGCTTTTCCTTGAATTCACCCATGCACTTGCAAAAGCCTTCTCATCACAAGTTTCATGCTTGAACAATTCGCTTGCGACTGCTTTTAGCGTATTTTATGCTCCAGCAGTCTGGATGCTCGGAGGTCGAGGCTTCGTCTCAAGTAAGACGATGTTTGAAAGTGTGCACCTTTGGCTCATAAAGAACTCTCATGAAGTGTAATATTTCTTCAAGATAGATATTCCACTATACCGTCGCAATACTGAATCCGCATTTAACGCTGCTGAATTTAATGTTCTTAAGGTGACACACCAAGAATGCTTATGTTCTGTTAGTACACAGGCACAAAATGTTCGACCAATCAGTAGCAGAACAACAGAAAATGGCAGAATGGCAAGACAACAGGTTTTGCTTCCTCAAGTAACTGATGTCTCACGGAACAAAGATGTGGATACACATGTGCTTTGAGCAAATAGCATGCAGCAGAACGCGTATCAAGGTTTGAAGTTAGCTCGGCTACGCGCAGTCTGTGTTCATAGAAACAAACTGCCTAATATATCGAAATGCAATGTGCAGTTATATATTCCGCACAAGACATCACGATTACATCTGAAACATTTACGATTTTCGTGGACACGAAACTGACAGTAAATGTGTTCATCATCATCATCATCATCACCATCATCATCATCATCATCATCATCATCATCATTATCATCATCATCATCATCATCATCATCATCATCGTCATCATCATCATCATCATCATCAT